AAATTAATTCCAATTAATTTCTGATTAAATATTAATTAAATATTACTATTTCTAATTAATACATTATTTCCATAATATATTAACAAATTTATTTATTTCAAATTATTAATCAAATAATAAATCAACCTCTCTCTCAAAAACCATCATGTTAAGTTGCTAGTTTGAGGGCAACCCAAAATGACCGTGCTACTATTAATTCAAGTATATATCAATTATAGTTATGGACTTAGACACCTAATCCAATAGGACTAAGATCACATTTTTATGGTTTCTGATAGCTTCATAATGGATAAAGTTTCCAACTTTATCCATTAGAATGGTCACAACAAACAAGATATAGTCTTTAACTCTCAAAATGACCAAAAATGCATCTTTTTCAACTTAATCCATTAAGTCCAAGTCTCCAACATTCATATCTGAATCAAAATGACCTTTAGATGGATCAAGTTTCCAACTTTATCCATAACAATGTAACAAACTTTCAAGATCTAAACTTTATGCACTAAAGTGACCAAAAGTTCATAACATCCAAAACTAGCTAGATCTAACAAATGCATCATCAAGTTTCAAGCTTCATACCTCCAAAAGAAAGATCACGGTGAACAAGGTCTGGAGCTACAAGATTCAATGCAACCAACGCTTCTTCAATGAGTTCGTTCTTCTCCAAGGTGCACCAAGAACACTCCAAAGCACTTAAAAAAAACCTTCTTTTTGCTCACAAGGCTCAAACTAGGGTTAGGGTTTCAAGGGAGGGTGTTGGAGAGGTGGATGATGAGAATGGAACGAGTTTGGGGAAGTTAATGAGCTTAAATAGGGATAAAACCACAAAAATAGGGTTTAGGCACTGATCGCGTACGCCCAACATACTAAATTTACACCCAGCGTACTCAATTTACGCCCAACGTATGTAACATACCGACTCCCAGGTATAATATTTAATTAAGTTATATTCATTTTGTCAGGGCGACTTGACGGGTTGGAGGCCCCAACTCGCCGAGTAGAGATGGAGATAGCCGCGTGATTTCTAGAGTCTACTCAACGAGTTTGAGGACCCGCTCGACGAGTAGGTGCTGAGTGTGAAAACCCTAATTTTCAGGGTTTGTACCCTATTTAAAGGACCTTAAGCCTTCATTTCCGTCTGCCTTATTACTTTAACACCCTGAGAGAAACCCTAAACGAGTTGGTAACATCTGTGTGTGTGTAAGAGAGAGAGAGAGAGAGAGATAGAGAGAGAGAGAGGCTAAAAGTGTGAGATTTGGTGCATTCTTGGAAGGAGATAACAGAGAAAAAGGTTTGGAACGAGGAGAAGGCCTTGGATCCAGTGTTCCTTCAGTACCAGCTGCTAATTGGAGGTAAAAAGCTATCACCTTGATCATTGTTTAGTTAGATCTCTCCTTTAGGAAGTTTGTGGCCATTTTCATATTCCTTTTTGAGCCTTTGAGTCATTTGAGCATGATATGAAGTTGAAACTTCAGATCTCGACTGTATGAGGTCCCTTGAGCATAAAGATCCAAGCTTTATCAAGCTATTGACCAAGATCCAAACATTAAACCTTCTATAGAGCTTTATTTTGGCTTTTCGATCCCTAGGTGCCATGCATGGACGTAAAGCTTGCAGCTTTACGTGGTATTTCAGCCTTAGGAGGCTAGATCTAGAGTTTGGGACTTTAGTTCTACTTGGAATCGTCTGAATGAGAATTGGACTAGAGGGAATCGCCGAGTGCATGTGCCAACTCGACGAGTCGGTTAGGGTTTTCCCTTATAGTTTTGACGTGTGCAAACTCGACGAGTTGATCAGACAAATCGAGGAGTTGAGTTGGAGTTTTCCCGATGTTCTGAGAACAGGAGGAACTCGACGAGTCGCATAGGTGTACTCGACGAGTTGGGTCAACATGGACTGTTGACTCGGGCGTTGACTTTTAGGGTTTGGTCAAGTTATGGACATGGAGGCCAAGGATGGGTAAAATGGTCTTTTCACCCTTTCCAATAGTTAGTGAAGGGGTTAGCTTAACATCTTTAGAGTTGTTGTTATGAGTGTTAATTAGAGATGATTATGACATATGTAGGCGGAGTCGAGACCGATCGTTGAGTACGAGACATACTTGCTTTGCTTGCGAGGTGAGTCTTCTCACAATACTTACCTGAGTGGTAATTCTGTGTGACCGGAGGGTCTTATATGAGTTATTGACCGGAGGGTCTTATTGAGTTATTGACCGGAGGGTCTTATGTGCTTATACTGAGTTACGTGATATCATGCATTTTGTCTTTGTGATTTATGTTGTATATTATTTATGTGCTTTATTTAGTTAGGATCGGAGGGTCCAAACCGAGTTGTGAGATCGGAGGGTCTTCGCTGAGATATCGGACTAGAGGGTCCGACCCGAGCTGTGAGACCGGAAGGTCCTCACTGAGACACATGACCGGAGGGTTCTTATTGAGATTTAGCCATGAGAGGCTAATTATTTGTGCATGGTATTTTGGGGAACTCACTAAGCTTCGTGCTTACAGTGTTGTGTGATATGTGTTTCAGGTACTTCTCAGGAACATGGGAAGGCGCCGACTTGATTGTACACACCAGTTGGAGTTTATGTTTTTGAGGATTCTAGGATATTATCAAACAATTGTTGACTTGTGTTTTGACAACTTATACACTTGTGGTTTTTGAGAAATGTGATATTGGGTTTTATGTGATTTTAAAAATGAAAAATTTGTTTGAAAATTTAGAGTGTAACAACGTACTTAGTACGCCCAATGTACTTAATTTACGCCCATCGTACTAGACTAAGCCCCAAACCTTCCTAACTTCAAACGTTCATAACTTCTTCGTTTCAACTCCGATTTCAACGATCTTTATATCCACGGAAATGTATTGAAGAGCTCTACAATATTCTCTAAATATATTGGACAAAAAACCTTTTGATCAAAAATCCATATTTCATGCAAGAACCCAAACTCTAAATTTTCATGTTCTACCCTTCGACCCAAAACACAATTCAAAGGTTTAGATCTCATAACCATCATTTTCATATTTCAAAAGGTCTAAACATTACCTCCCTAAGGCCCAAAGTCTTTACACAATCGACTTACGGACCACGGTCCTGAAATAAGAAGTGACGGAAAACAGGATGTTACATGAGCCCTTCGTGGCTCGTTCTTCGTGCTTGGCCATTGTCGGAACAAAGAAAAAGGAGAAGAAGTAGATCGAGGGGGTGTTTGGGGTTGCTACTTAACTGGATAGGGGATGGAGGATGGGTGCAACCACCGACTTGCTCACCAGATTTCCTTCCTCTTTGTTGGTAGTGTAAGAACTAGAGAGAGAATAAAGTAATAAAGTGGAGAAGAAGATTAGGTGGGGTGTGGCATTCCTCTAATTGAAGTACCTGAACAATCCAAAAAGTCCCCATTGACTTTTTGGTTAGACATTTTGGATAAAAAGAAAATAAATCAAATTTTATGTATCTTTTTTATGATGTAATTCTCGATTCTCGTGCCATCATATCGTCTCGTGAAATTTTTCTGAAAGTGCTTGTTGGTTGTCCTGATCGCGGTGATTCCAAAAATGCAGACGGAGTTCAATTCTAGCATGCAGAACTCCCTGAAATTGTGTTTATAGTTTCACGATTAATTGCTTCAGATTTGACAGATTTTACAAATCTGGTTTTGGTCGATATTAAAAAGGTCATAAAAACAAAATAAAATAATATACCATAGTCGAAGTTCAAAAACATGCTCAAAAATAATTCACGAGGCTACTGGCTAATTCAAACGAAGCAATGCATAATTCATTTCAGGAAAATCTTATAAATATTGATTTTTATAACCTAAAAGATGCATAACTTACTCATATGATCTCCGTTTTTGACGTTATTTTTATATCCACAGAATCAAGATAACGTAATCTATTCATATTTCTTATCCATAAGTCTCAAATATACTTAATGCAAAAAAAAATATTTTTAACATCACAAATAGAATTAAATTTTGGTGATTTTCGATTCGATCTTTAATGATAGATGGTTATGAAAGTAATTATAAAAATAATATCTTTAATATACATTATAAATATAAAATTACACACAATTAATCATTAATCCATAGCGGTTCATGGTGGTTTGACCGCCAAACACTGACTAATTTTTACAAGTAGTTTTTAGAAAAACTAGTTTATAGATTACTATTAGCCTGCCAAACATGACAAATTAAAAAAAAACTCAAAAAATAAGTTAGCTTATCAACTAGTTGTGACATGCCAAACACAATCTATATAGAATTTTAAAAAACTTGCTTATAAGTTAGTTTATAAATATTTTTTTTGGTTTGTAAAACATAAAAAAAAAAATCGAAAAATAAGTTAATTGTTACGCGAAAAACAGAACTTAATCAACCTAATTGCGAGGTTCTAACCAATACACATAGGATTGAAATATGAACGAAGTTTATAATTAGAGACATTTTGTGCATTACAAAATAGGGGAAAAAACGAAACTTAAAAATAAGAAAAAAAAAAAAACCTCCCAATCAAAGATTAAAGTAGATATTTCTTAAGTTAGAGGGTCAAAATGAAAACTCACTTAGGAATTCAAGAGACTCATAGAAGCATCCAGAATGAGTCTCCCTCCATTTTTCACGCTTCATAGAAGCGCCTAGAACCCACCAGTAACAACCACGACCTGCCCTCCGCCGGTATAAAAACCACTCACCTCCTCCTTCCCCGTCATCAGATTGATTTCATTCCGTGTTTCGCTAAGCATTTTTCTTTTAAATTCTCAAGTAACCTTTCCTGCTTTTTCTTGAATCCTAGTTAATCGGTGGCAATGGCGGATGTGCAAATGGCAGATGCAGAGACGTTTGCATTTCAGGCTGAAATCAACCAATTGCTTAGTCTGATTATCAATACGTTCTACAGCAACAAGGAAATCTTCCTACGAGAACTGATTAGCAACTCTTCCGATGCGTTGGATAAGATCCGATTCGAGAGCTTGACGGACAAGAGCAAGCTTGATGCGCAACCGGAGCTTTTTCATCCGGCTCGTTCCAGATAAGGTTAACAAAACCCTGTCCATCATTGATAGCGGAATTGGAATGACCAAAGCAGGTATATAGTTTTCTTAGTTTTGCATTTCTTTATTGATAGCTTCATGCATGTCTTTCAATGTGTTTGTGAATAATTTATTCATTGTCAATGTCGTAATAATGTAGATTTGGTGAACAATTTGGGGACGATTGCGAGATCTGGCACAAAGGAGTTCATGGAGGCGCTACAGGCCGGTGCTGATGTGAGCATGATTGGACAGTTTGGTGTCGGTTTCTATTCGGCCTATCTTGTTGCTGAGAAGGTGATTGTCACCACTAAGCACAATGACGACGAGCAATACATTTGGGAATCCCAAGCTGGTGGCTCATTCACAGTCACTAGGGATGTCAATGGTGAACAACTGGGTAGGGGGACTAAGATCACTCTCTTCCTCAAGGAAGACCAGGTAATCACACCTCATCAGACTCTGATCTGCTCTTCAATAGACTATTTATTCTGCTATTTTTTTTTTATTTGTTGTAATATGATTGTTACCATTGCAATTACATCGCCAATCTCTCGTTCTGCATTGTTCTGCTTTATAGTGAATCGGATCGTCAGATCAATGATTATCTGTTTATTTGAGTTAATTTTTAAATACATCATAGATGCTATTAGATTGAAGAGTTACTGAGATCTGTTATGCAACTTTTGCAGATGGATTACTTAGAGGAGAGGAGAATAAAGGATCTTGTGAAGAAACACTCCGAATTCATCAGTTATCCAATCTATTTGTGGACGGAGAAAACAACTGAAAAAGAGATAAGTGACGATGAAGATGATGAACCTAAAAAGGAAGAAGAAGGCGATGTGGAAGAGGTTGATGAAGACAAGGAGAAGGAGAAGGGAAAGAAGAAGAAGATCAAGGAGGTTTCACACGAATGGGAGCTCATCAACAAACAGAAACCAATCTGGCTCAGAAAGCCAGAGGAGATCACCAAAGACGAGTACGCTTCTTTCTACAAGAGCTTAACAAACGACTGGGAAGATCATCTAGCAGTTAAGCACTTCTCAGTTGAAGGACAGCTTGAATTCAAGGCGATCCTCTTTGTTCCAAAGAGAGCTCCGTTTGATCTATTTGACACTCGCAAAAAGATGAACAACATCAAGCTGTACGTGAGAAGGGTGTTCATCATGGACAACTGCGAGGAGTTGATCCCTGAATATCTCGGATTCGTGAAGGGCGTTGTCGACTCCGATGACCTTCCACTAAACATCTCCCGTGAAATGCTTCAACAAAACAAGATTCTGAAAGTGATCAGAAAGAATCTTGTCAAAAAATGCATCGAGATGTTCAACGAGATCGCTGAGAACAAAGACGACTACAACAAATTTTACGAAGCGTTCTCAAAGAATCTAAAGCTTGGCATCCATGAAGACAGCCAGAACAGATCAAAGCTAGCCGACCTGCTCCGGTACCATTCCACTAAAAGCGGCGATGACGTCACCGGTCTGAAAGACTACGTCACCCGTATGAAGGAAGGACAGAAAGACATCTTTTACATCACAGGCGAGAGTAAAAAAGCCGTTGAAAACTCTCCTTTCTTAGAGAAACTAAAGAAAAAAGGTTACGAGGTCCTGTTCATGGTGGACGCCATTGACGAGTACGCCGTCGGACAGTTGAAGGAATATGACGGGAAGAAGCTGGTGTCTGCAACTAAAGAGGGTCTAAAGCTTGAAGACGAGACGGAGGAGGAGAAACAGAAGAGGGAGGAGAAAAAGAAGTCGTTTGAGAATTTATGCAAGACGATTAAAGAGATTCTGGGAGACAAGGTGGAGAAAGTGGTGGTTTCCGACAGGATTGTTGACTCGCCGTGCTGTTTGGTGACCGGAGAATATGGATGGAGTGCAAACATGGAGAGGATAATGAAGGCGCAGGCGTTGAGAGACAGTAGCATGGGGTCGTACATGTCTAGCAAGAAGACGATGGAGATAAACCCTGATAATGCGATAATGGAGGAGCTGAGGAAGAGGGCGGAGGCTGATAAGAATGACAATTCGGTGAAGGATTTGGTGATGTTGATTTTTGAGACTGCTTTGCTGACGTCAGGGTTTAGTTTGGAGGATCCGAATACATTCGGAGGGAGGATCCATCGGATGTTGAAGCTGGGTTTGAGTATTGATGAAGAGGAAGGAGGTTACGACGGTGATGAAGTTCCGGCTTTGGAGGAGGAAGGCGGCGAGGAGAGCAAGATGGAGGAGGTGGATTAGGTTGTGTGATCAGTTGGAAATTATTTTTCTTTTGTTTTTTGTTTTTTGTTTTGAGGTGGTTGGATTGGGGTTTTTGGTTAATGATTAGTATCTGCATATTGTAGAATGAAAATGGTAAAGTGAAGATGTCCGTTTGGAGTTGATAACACTACTTACTATTGGTGACTGTTTTGGTTTTTGCTTGGGATTTCTTGATCATAATAAAATTCACATGTTCAAATGAGTTTTTAACCGGTTGCTAAGCCGTGTAGTGTGCTTTCAACCATCACCATAATATATTAATTTTGTGTTCTATAGAGCAAGAATGTGAAGGTTTCTAGAACCCATCATTATCATTTTAAAAGTTGATTGGAATTTAAAAACCAATGACTATCTTGGTATTTGTGGTTTTTTTATATGGATAAATTTTAAGTGGAATTTTTAAATGGGAAAATTTGAAATGTTGGAAGTGCATGGTCGTGGATGATCTTAAAATTGTTTGTAAGCATTGTCGTGTATTCATACATTGTAAAAAGCATATCCAAATTAAAAAAAAAAAAAAGGTACAAATTATGCAAATTTGGACCATTCACATTGTTAAATTTTTTTTAATTTAAGACGAATACTTTTTAAATGACTTTTGTCTTTTAATTTTTCTACCTTTGGGAATACTTTTTAAATGACTTTTGTCTTTTAATTTTTCTAAAAAGTTATAAAGATGTTTGGAAAATTCAAAAGTTATTTTCAAAATAACTTTTTGTAAAGAAGGAAAGAGTGAGTTTTCAAAAGTCAAGAAAATATGACTTTTTGTAACTTTTGAACTTAAAGCTAAATCACACTAAAAAGTCAAAAAATACCTTACCTATCCACTTTTGGCTTTTGTTTCCTCAAAAGAATTTTTATAAAAAGAACTTTTAAGCTTAAAAAGTAAATCCCAAACACCCCCTAAATTACACGAATGGTCCCTATGGTTTAGGGTAATTTTCACACCTAAAAAGACTATTTTCTTCTTGATTTTTTAATTTATTTAAAAAAAACACCCCCAACCCCACCTCCCTCGCCTTACCTTACCTACCCACCATTTTTTTCTATTTAAATATTTGTCTTTTGTATGTAAGATAGGGACCAAGAATGTAACAAAAACAAACAGTAGGGACCAAGCGCATTACAAAACAAAATAATGTCAAATTAAATGTCATGTCAAATCAAATGTCAAAATAAGAAAAAAAAACAAAAACAAAATAATGTCAAATTAAATGTTAAAAAATTGATTAGATTTAGTTTAGAGGGGTAAATTTGGTTAAGATGGTACTTATAGCACAATCATATAGGAAATGTTTGTGATTCTTTTTTAACCTAAAAAGTTTTTTTTTTATAAAAGAACTTTTTCACTTTAACTTTTTCAAAAAGAAAATTTTAAAATATGTTTGGATAACTCAAAGGCAAATACCAAAAAGTCAAAAGTTACAAATCACAAATTCTAGGCTTTTAAAACAATTCATTTTTCTTGTTAGCAATCGGTCCTTTTAAAAGAAATTTTGAAATTGTCAAACGCCTTTTTAAACTTTTAGTTTTTTAAAAAAAACCAAAAATCCAAAAATCTCAACACCCTCGTAATATAGCTTTTTATATTGAGAATTTTTAAGCGAAACGTTTGAGCGAAACTATTAAGAAAATTGCACAAGTGTCTACTTTATATCAAGTGTTCATTCACACCTTGCAACAAAATATACTTGTGTTAAAAAACATTTAGGGGCTAATTGTGCAATTACTTCAAACCGTAAGGGACATTCGTGTAATTATTTTTTAATTTTAACACTAACAGACAAATCAAGCAATTTTTGAATTTAGGTAAACTTGTTTTGAATCAAATCCGACGTATTAGTCAAATGACCATCGAATTCCTTATATCATCAACATTTGACCATTTAAGTTTAAAACGTGCTAATTAATCTCAAAATCGCCCCCATTTAGCCATTGGGGTATATATGCAATATGACAATTTTTAAGTAAAACTTTTGACCAAAACTTTAAAGAAGAATGCACAAGTGTCTTTTTTATAAGAAGTGTTATGTATTATGATGGTCTTGAATTATTGTTTAGAAATTTGTCAGATAGAAAGTTATGGTAGTAGTCTATGTTATTAATAAATGAACTATTATTAATAACTGGACATGGTCCGGTAGATGAAGATGGAGTGTTATGACGGATAAAAAACTTGTTTTTATCTAGTGTTTGTTCACACCTTATAATAAAATGGATCATTAAAGCATTATCTGATAGATAAAGATGGAGTGTTGTGATAGATAAAAACTTGTTTTTATCTAATGTTCATTTACACATTTGCAACAAAAATATACCCGTGTTAAAGAAATTAAGGTCCAATTATGCAATTTACTTCAAACCACAAGGATAATTTTTTGAATTTTTAATACACCGCTGGTGTTGGAGATTGCAACTAGAGGTGACAATGGTCGACCTAGGTTGGGTTCGGGTTTAACCCATTTAATAATTGGGTTGAAATCTTTAACCCAACCCAATCTATTTATTTAAATGGGTTGATATTTCCAACTTAACCTAACTTTTTAGATAAATGGGTTTTCAGCGGGTTGACTTGTTTATATAGTTTCTGACCCAACCTATTAAATAAACGGGTTAAACTTGGGTTAACCCATTTAAAATCAATTAAAATAAACTTTATATTAAATATTATACCACTTAAATTATAAAACGTAAATAAAAATTCATAATTATGACAAAAGCACAATCCTAATTCATAAATACAAATAAATTGTTCAAATAATATTAAAAATGTTTAGTTTTACAGTGATTTTGGAGAGTGACCAGTATTATCAGCGCTAAAAAAATGATGGAAATTAGGATTGAATTTTATAAAACATAGATAATAATAATGCAACATTATAATTTACAAATTAATACTTTGATTAATAAATGATAAAATTAGAAATAATTATTAAATTATATATATATATATATATATATATATATATATATATATATATATTAAAGTTAAATGGGTTGATAACGGGTTGATAATTTTTACCCAACCCAACCTATTTAATTAAATGGGTTAGACGGGTTGACACATTTAAGTTAAATGGGTTGAAAATCTCAACTCAGCCCGTTAATTTTGGGTTGGGTTCGGGTTGGGTTGGCAGGTTGGGTCTATTTTTGTTAGCTCTAATTACAACCTAGTAAACTTGTTTTGAATTTTATCTGACTTAATAATAATATTGCTATCAAATTCCTAAAATCATCCACCTTTGACTATTTAAATTAAAGTCGTGTTAATAAATTTCAAACTCATCACACCATTTAACCATTAAAGTGAAAATTTTTACCGTAACAAATGAAAAAAAATGCACACGTGTCTTTTTATAACAAGTGTTCTATATTATGGTGATTTTAAATTATGATTTATAAATTTCACAGGTAGAAAGTTATGGTAGTAGTCTATGCTATAAATGATTGAACTATTACTCATAAATTGACTATTAGGGAATGGTACGACTGAATGGATGGAATGTTGCGATGGATAAAAACTTGTTTTATCTAATATTCATTGATACCTTGCAACAAAAACATATCTGAATTAAAAAAAAATTAGGTATAAATTATGCAATTCACCTTACTTAAATCATAAGGACCATTCATTTAACTAGTTATTTTTTAAATTTTACACAATAACAAACGAGTAAAACAATTTTTGAATTTTCATTACACCGCTGACATAGAGATTCCATTCGGATAAACATGTTTTGAATCATATATGACGTATTAGTCAAATGACCATCGAATTCCTAAAAATTTTTAAGTTCAAGACGATTTAATTAATCTCAAAATCGTCATCATTTAGCCATTGAGATATGCTATAACTTTTTATATTGAGTTTTTTTAAGTGAAACTTTTGGCAAAAATTGTTGCAAATAGTACACAAATGTTTTTCCTATAACAATTGTATTATAATGGTTTTGAATTATTGTTTTTGAATTTGACATGTAGAAAGTTATGGTAGTAGTTATATTATTAATGCTTGATGACTTGATCTATTACTCATAAATGCATCATAAGGGCATGGCTTGGTAGATGAAGATGAAGTGTTTTGACTGATAAAAGTTTGTTTTTATCTACTGTTTATTCACACCTTGCAACAAAAATATACCCAAGTTAAAAAAACAATTAGGGGCTAATTATGCAATTTACTTCAAACCATAATGACCATTCATTCATTTATTTTTTAATTTTAACACTAACAAAAAAAATAAAACAAAATTTTGAATTTTTATTACACCACTAATGTGGAGATTTCATTCTGTTAAACTTGTTTTGAATCGTATCTGACATATTAATCAAATGACCGTCGAATTCCTAAAATCAACATTTGACCATTTAAGTTAAAGACGTGCTAATTAATCTCAAAATCGTCATCGTTTAGTCATTGGTATATGGTATAGCTTTTTATATTGAGAAATTTTCAAATTAAAGCTTTCACAAGTGTTTTTTTATAACAAGTGTTTTGCATTATGATGGTCTTGGATTATTTTTTATAAATTTTGACTGCTAGAAAATTATGATAGTAGTTTATGTTATTAATGCTTAAACTATTACTCATAAATGGACCACTAGGGCATGGTCTGGTAGATAAAGATGGAGTGTTACTACAAATAAAAACTTGTTTTTATCTAGTGTTCATTCACATATTGCAATAAAAATATACATATGTTAAAAGAATTACGGATTAGTTATGCAATTTGCTTCAAACCATAAGGATCACTCGTGTAATTATTTTTTAATTTTATAAATAAAACAAGTTTTTGAAATTTCATTACACTGTTTGATGTTGGATATTGGCACCTAGTAAACTTGTTTTGAATCGTTCAACAACAAATGAAAACTTTTGTTTAATGGAATTCCAACATAATCATTCAACTCAAGTCTTCTCTTGGCATATGAATCCATTTTCTTATGTGATAGATGAAAACGAGATTTTTTGGGACTTA